GTGCCAACCTTTGCGGGTGTAGGGTAAAAGGGCAGAAAAACCTTTACTCCCCCGGCTCATATACGTAAGGACCCCCCCCCCCCCCCCCTTTTTTTTTCGGCCATTGTCGACATCTCATATCTGGTATATTGACTGTTGTTATGGGTTCATCACAGTGGAGTTACTAAACGAAAAGGAATCCAAGGAACGTCTTATCGATGCATATGCATCGCAGGTAGCAGATGATCCAACGGGCAAGAAAATAGTTCATCGACACAGCCGACTTGTCGAAAACCAAGACAAGGCACAAATATTCAAACCGATCAAAGTCGAGCATCGTTGGGAAGCGACATTCAGACAACAAGTTTCAATTCTTACTCAACGTGCGTTCAAACAACGACGGCCAGTCATGTTATCGCGATTGCATGCAACCGAGACCATCATCCTTACGACTATTTCGTGTTTGATTTGGTTCAGACTGAGTATGGACGAGACATCTATCAATGATAGGAGAGGATTGGTGTGTACAGATTATTATATCCAAAAGCGATGAATTGTATTTTTTATCATGTTAACTAAATACGATATCTCATCTTTGCGTTATAGGTTTTCTTTAGTTGTATCTTCTGGTCGTTTACACCGTTGATTACTGCAGTTACATCATTTCCTTTGGATCGTAGTCTACTCAACAAAGAACGTCAATCACGATCATATCGTCTATCATCCTACTTTATTGCAAAACAACTGGCTGAACTGCCACTTGTGCTGCTTGCACCTACGTTCTTTACGGTATTAGTGTACTGGATTGGCAATTTAGTGGATGACTTTGGTAGATTCGCTGCACATATGGTAAGTCTATATACGTTGGATAGATGGTTATTTGAGCAGTACTAACTGGCATGTATTTCCTCCCTTCAAAGGTTATCACAATGACAACTGTCCTCACTGCACAAGGCTTTGGATACTTCTTTGGTGCAACACTAATGGATGTACAGAAGAGTATGAGTACGTATTCGTTTGTTTACGATTCTAGTTTTTTGACGTATCTCTCTCCGCATTGGTCATTCAGGCTAACAATACAACCCTGCTTTTTTTTTACAGCTGCGAGTACAGTGTTTATGTTATCGACCATGTTGTTGGCCGGATTTTATGCAACAAACATTCCGTCTTGGATAGGATGGACATCATATGTCTCATTCTCGCGTTATTCATTCCACTTGCTCATGCAAAACCAGTTGCTCGCTGGATCGTTCCAGTTAGAATGTGTCAGTGGGATTCGCAGTGAACTTGCACAGTGTGCAAGCGGTGCGGGTTTTGTATCGGGTGAGGAAATATTAGAACATTTAAAGTTGGACGATACAAAGTGGTACATCAACCTAGCATTGTTGCTTATTTCCTTGGTGGGAATTCGGATATTGGCATACTTTGCTTTGCGCAATTCTGGAAAAAAGAAAAATAGGTAGTAATTTATCTGTATAATTAGTTTATTGTTAATAAATACAAGAGTGCTTAGACTAAAAAACCGGATATTTACGATTTTCTTGCTCTGCTTGCTCTTATTGCATCTAACAAGACACTTGTTATTATGAGTGGTTCTGTATCCATTCTGTTATTGAATTCCTTCTCGTAAGGATAGAATATGTGATTATTCAATTTTTGCAAAATGCAATTTTTTTTGCGACGCGCGAATTAAATCACGTGTTTAAATCAATTATGTGATACGTAAGAACAAGCCTGGTTCAATAACATTCTAGCATTTTATTCATCAAGAGTTTATTGTATTTCAAGCACAAGATAAGTTAATTATAACAAGTCAAAATTGCAAAATATTCTCTACATAGAAGAACAATAAATGTGAATGGAAGTCTATAATGTTGAAGTTGTCAGGATCAAGGCTTAATACAACGTATTCCTCCGTGATTTCCGCTCCGTCACACGAAAGTCTCCGATTCCGCAG